CCCCAAAACCCCAAAACCCCAAAACCCCAAAACCCCTATTTTGCAAAAGTTTGCTGAATAAATAAATTTATTTCAAAATGAGTGCTAATAGCAACCCTGAAAGTGCAAAAGAATCTGACTCTAACCCAGGTAAATCCAGATTTATGTTAAATAAAGATCTAGAGAGTGAAGATGCATATGAACTCCTTGGTCTTGAGAGAGAAGACCTTGAAAAAGCAGCCCTATTGTATGAAAATGTTAGGGCTCAGAGCAGAAATAAAAAGAAAAATAATGATAAATAAATTAGCTGATGATTTTGTCAAATTCCTTGAAGAGGTAACTCTATCAACAATTGTTCTCTATTATTCTCTAGAAAATGCAAGAGCTGTCAAAAATTATTTTGAATCCCAATATCCCAAAGCACATAAAATAGTGTTCATATCCTGAACGTAAGCCTCTTCCTCTAACTTGGCAGCTGAGATTTGAGACATTTGGGCTATGTTTCTCAAAAATGAATGAACAAGTTCTGGAAGAAGATAACTCATTAGGAAAAATATACACAGTTTTATTCAAAAACATAAAGCACATCTACGAAGACTCCATCGGTCTAATAAAAGTTCTCAGATCTATAAATGATGAGAAGAAGATCAAGGCAGAGTTAGTCACAAAGGAATTCGAGATTATGCAGACTTTAGAAGCAGCTGAAAAGATTGAAAATGAACTCCAGACTTGTAAAGACCAACTTGAGATAGTCCGCCAAGAAAGAGACCAGTATAAATCAGAACTGGATGAGCTAAATAATCAAGTTTTACAACAGAAAATCCAAATTCATGAAGTTCAAGAGCAACTCCAAATCTGAGAAAATAAGCCAAAAATAATACAGAATGTTTCGAACCAAGAAGAGATTCAAGCTCTTGAGCAAGAGATCGATGAGCTTAAAAATGAAAATGACACTATGATGAAGATCTTGATTAAAAGATCAAAGAAAGATGTTCTCTCTCAGAGCAAGGAATACCACACAAGAGAAGCTAGGCATTATGATACATCCCAGAAGCAGTTACTCTTCACTAGTGAACACCTTTACGGTACCTTTACTTGTATGATCTACAGAATCTAAAGAGTATACATCGAAATCTTTATTTATCCAGCCAGTAGGACATCATACTCCTTTGGGGAAGACTCGGGAGAAGATTTTGACTCTGAACCACGTACCTAATTTGCATGACCATATAGACTAAAGAGATCATCAAAGAATTGTATCAGTCAAAGAAGAAATATGATGAGCTATGTAAGGAACATAAGGCTCCCATTGAGACTATGGAGCAGTACCTTTATTCTTACTTGAATAATAAATACGGACTAAAACCCTTGATAATCGAATGGACAGTAGGAATAGTCAATGCTATCAAATTGTTCAAAGATGAAGACCATGATGTCTACCTATTCGCGAAGATACTTAAGAACAGATGTGAGGAAGACTTTGTTGAATCCCAACAACAAGTCAGAGATACTCTTAATGCAATTTTGAAGATGTGGGCTCGGGAGAAATATATCTATAAGCCTGACTACCAGATTGACCTTTTGCTGCCAGAGCTGAAGACTTGTGCTTATAGCTTAGAATTTTACATCAAGGTGCTGGAAAAGTTGTACCCAGAGGAGAGAGACAGAGTTTATGTTGAAATGCATCTTGAAGACCACCTTCAAAGACAGTAAGAATTCAATAATTCCCAAAATAGAAAAACAAGGATTGCTAATAATACCACATTTGCATACTGATCCACTGTAAACATGACTGCAAATAGAAAAGGAGCTGTTAAAAATGAGATTTTATTTACTGTATTTGAGAAAATAGTGCTTGACTACCAACTTAATGAGCATTGCAAATTTTTAGATAAATTCAATGAGCTGTTTGACCAAATCGACACTGATACAAATGGAATAATCTCAAGAGTAAGCTTATGCTCTAACTAAGTAGCAACAATTTGTGGACCTATTATATCAAATGGATATTATTGATTATTCTAACCTCAATGACACCGAAGGAGGATCTTCAGAAGAAGCTCTACATTTACTCAACTCAATAGATCCTTATGAGACAGACCAGATAATCCTTTCAGAAATAATAAAACTTCTGACCGTTCATACAGCTAAGATTAGGAGCTCCGACTCTGAATCTGGAATGGAACAAGTCAGTGTTCTCGAAAAATTTGTCACTAAGGCTCTTGAGCAAGAAGATTTGCAAAAATAAGGTCATGCAGAAATTACAAGAAAGGATGATAGAAGAGTCCAAAAATGAGGAGCCTCCAGCCCCTCTTTCCAAAGAAGAAAGTGAGAAGTTACTCCCTGTGAAGAGTATTTCTAAAGATATAAACTTGGATGTGAATGAATATGGTAAGTGCCATCTTGAGAATTTATAGTGCCACCACAGTTTGAAAATCTAGAAAATCATGCCTTAGAGGATATCAAGCAAGAATATGATAACATTGATCAATACAATGCTAATAGAGAGGGTGAAGGCCATGCAGTTTCAGAGAATTCTGATGAAATTACTAAAGATCCTAATCTTCTTCCCAGAGAGCTCGACCCAGTTGAAGAAGAGGAGAAAGAAGAAAACTCTCAAAAGATGAGTGCCACTGAGAGCCAAAATGAGCTTGAACCTGACCATATTCCTCAGCATGACCAAAGCGAAGAGCCTGTCTTAGAAGCAGAGGGGGAAGAAACAGTTAAAGAATAATAGTTCAATAATGAAAAGCTAGGAGGGGTTTTGGGGTTTTGGGGTTTTGGGG